CTTGGGTGAGTTTAACTTAGGAGAACAATAAATGACCAGACCAAATAGACAACTGATCTAAACAGAGAAAAATACGTATTTGAAAATACTGGTAGACAACTGAAAATAATGATAGACAACTGAATTATCCTGAGTTCTTTTTTTTCTCTTTGCTTAATCATTTTTATCACAAAATAGTCTACAGTTTGTTTCATACTTAAAAATCATTCACAGATTCATGCCAAGAAAAAAAATGATAGATCATGATTTCTCAAAAGCCTTCGTAGACAGAAATAAAATAAACAAATTACATCAGAATCATTGGAAAATTACCATTTGTTTAGCAGCAGATGTCTATATAGGTAACTACTTGCCAGAAGAATCTAGCTCAGACTGGCTCCCCATGCTCACTCCTAGCCATTCTTTTAATGCAGTAATGAACTGTTTGGGTTTTTTTGTTGTTGTTGCTGCTTTGTTTTGCTTTGTCTTTAAGTTCAGTCACTTCACCTTCTTCTTTCTTATCTCCTATTATGTATTTATTTTCCTCGCCATTTTCCCATGTAATAAAACATACTGCACATACAGCAATTCAATTTGTGAACTGAACTTTGTCTTATCTTCCAGACTGTTTGCTTCTCTCCATCTCAGTCATGACAATCTCCTTTTCCACTTTCTCCTCATTAATGAGTCTTTCTCCTACTGATACTAAGACTACAGTTCCTCTTTACTCTTTATGCCAAACAGCAACATCAGAACTTTTGTTTCTATATATGAAATAGCAGTGAAAGAATGAAAAGAAAGTAAATTATTTCAATTTGGGGGGAGAGGAATATTCACAGAACTGCCACTGCTAGAAGTCTCTAAATTAATCCAGTTTTTTTGTTTCTTTGGGTTTTTTTTTTTTGAGGGGGTTGGTTGTACATTTTTAATGTAGTATTGATACACAATAAAACACAGTCATTAATCAATCAGAATAACGGCTGATTAATCAGATACAGTGGAAAATTCAGAATTCAGCTCAGACTTCTTTTCATCCCAAGAAATTTCTGTTATTCTTATTTAGACAGTCTCTTGCTTGTAATTTTAATCTGATCTACACAACTTATGAAGGGGAAGGACATTTAAAATACAGATGAAAAAGAAATGCTTCAAGTTACTGAGTAGCATTTAACTTCATTTAATGAATTATATCCTTGACAGAATTGCAAAATGACTGACCAAATGTTGATGGCTGCTTTACAGCCGTTACATGGACAAGACTTGCATTAATATATTCTGTCATTCAAATTATTTACAATCCCTTCAGGATCTCTGAAAACAAAAAAATAATCCTATTAACTTCTGCTAAATTTATTAGAATGAGGAAAATTACAAAACCAGCTTTCTAATCCTGCAAATAGCAACTTCATCCAAGATCTGATTTGAATGCTATATAAGAAAGTTTTTAGTGGAGAGATCCACTCTTAAGTGTAATCTATATTCAAGATACTGTACTTCATCGTGCAAATCACCTGTGGATTCTGTTTTAATATCACAGAGATCAAAATACTTTACAAGATTTCAGCTGAACAAAGACATTTAGTTTCAAGAGTAGTGTCATGTGACATGTTATGTACCACATAAACAGTTTACATTTGATAAAGAAGAAATGTGACCAGTACAATCATTCTAGGAACTTTCATAAGATAGCTAAAACAAAGAATAAAGAATCTGAATTAAACTAAATTTGCCATTTTTATTAAATTAGCTTAACTTTCTTCACCAAAAACATTCACCCTAAAGAAGGACACCAGCAGTCTTTCAAGGCAGTAAGGGGTTTGATTCTATTATTTTTTTCCTCGAAGTGATAGTTAAGCCTCCAGAATGAAGTCATCAGAAGCTGGGAAGCTCAGCTGAAGATAGCCAATTTCTCAGACAGACTATTGCCAGATAACTAGGCTGCTGCCTCTGTGAAGGGAAGAGGCTTAATTACCCTGCTAAGAGGCTGCGGCTTGCAGTTTGCAACTCTGCATCATGGAAACCATTCTAAGAAAAAACAACCTATATAAGCTTACGTTCCTTCATATTGAATCGTAGTGGTTTTATGAGTTAATGAGTGCACCCTGGAACACCTCTGTTGTAATTTTTTCTTCATAAGATCATAGGATTTCAACAGTGACTTCCATGATAATAACGAAGGTATAAATTATATTTGTTTAGATGCTTTAACCCAAAGCCCTTATAGGAAAGGGAGACTCTAATCCCAAGGTGTTGGCTTGCAAATAAAAAAGCTGTACATCAAATTTCTAAATTGTGGCTTCTATTTTTCAGCAACAAGATCATCTGATTTTTCTTTCTTTCCTTTAAGAAATAACTCACTCTTTTTCCACATCTGATTTACTGGATGTATGACATACAAGTGATTAATGGCAAATTTTTTATGAACAACCCTGCACAACCTTTATATTGAACAGTTAAAAAAAAAAAAGTTGAAAGATGGAGAAGTCAGTAATAAATACTCTTCTGAGCATTTTTGTTGGTCTGTATTAGATGGAATGCTTATATAAAAAACTGAATGACAGTATGAGACAGGAAAAATAGAAAGATACTATACTGTTTCTGAAAGAATTTTGAGGTTATTAAAAATACCTGCTGCATTGAGGGGCGTGTAAAAAGGAAAATAAGAAAGACATAACTTTAACAGATCTGGTAACTTAAGAGATAACCCTGTTGCTAGTAACAGGCTTTGATTCTATTTTTCTGTTGTCTGCAACAGCAATTTCACAAATCAAACTGTAGACACTTGAATAGAGACAATTTTATAATACCTATTCTGCAATTTCAAGAGTGGTTTAAGTACTAAAAGCCTTCTGTGTTCAATTTAATTCTCTCTTAAACCTTAAAATGCTGCCTCTGCTTCTAAACCTGTCACAAAAGGGATCTATCCCCACTGCAATGTAACATAGACAGCATCCTACACCTCCAGACCAAGGACTCCTTGAGCAATTTGCATTGTTTCATGTGTAGCCATAGTAAAAACAAATGTTGTTAAAGGAATGATATTGCTCCTAAAAAGACTAAAGAGGTTGTAAATAATTTGAAACAACTTTTCTTTTAAACTGGTCAGATTTTTTTTATTTTTATTTTTTATCAAAATTTGTACACTCTTAGACAATTCCTCCAGATTAACACATCCCGCTCATCAAGCACTGTCCAGCAAAGCTCATCAACGAAGAGTAAATTAATAATTTAAACTGATGTTCTTCAAATGTAAGCACCTCTCAGACTGAACTGTTTGTAAAGCGAAAGTATGATTAGCTGCTCTTATACCATGCTTTGCTAAATATATAAAATTAATGTCTTTTTTCACCCAATTTTTTCTGTTTGTGGATGTTTATAAAGCAATCTCCAGCAACCACTAAGTACTAATTTTGACTGTCCTTATGTTTACAACTCATCAAGAAAGGACAAGACACTAGACTACAGCAATCAGCAGCTTGATACAAATTTCAAATCTAATCCTTGAAGGATGGCAGGAAACCTGCAGTTCCGAGAATTATTCCATTCTGAACATAAAACCTTGCTAGAAAATCAACTATAGAAACTTTCAAAGAGTGCATTTTGCATTACTGAAAGATTTTCATCTCCACTGCACTGCTGTGGGCTTTTTTTGTTTAACAGCTCAAAACTTGAGGAAATACTTGATATATTTTAATACTTATTAATATAGCAAGTTAATTAAAGTAAATTTAGTTTAACGTAATAATATTCAGGGAATATATTGGACAGATTATTGCAGTTGTCTTTTAAGTAGTTTGTCTTTCTTTCTGCTATCTTCATAAAATAATTATTACATTATTGTTACAGCACTATTATATTCTTATTAAGAACTTCAGGTCACCTATCGCATTTATACAAAATACTACAAATCCAGGCAAAGTACATCAAGCTAAGCAGCAAGAAAGTAATTCCCTAAAGCACTGCATGCATTTCTAAGATCTTTACAATTTAGATGATTGCATTATCTCAGTTTTTTATTCAATAGTCAGGAGATAAATGACAGCTAGAATGACTGAATATTTTTTTTTTTTTTTTAAACACCTTTCATTTTATTTGATAGACTTTTTACCCATAGTAATTTATTCCTATCACTGATGAAAATATAAAGCAAAAGCCTGAAAGTACAATCATGGCTAATGTTGAGCCCAAGAAAGAAAAAAACACTGTAGAGATAAATGGAGATGTCTACCATTTCAGTTTGAATGCCATTACAACAAGTGATTAGGTAAAATAAAAAGCTGTATTAATAAAACTATGTTTTCTTCATGCACACATATTTTCTTGTAAAGATATGAAATGATTTACATTTCACGTAAAAGGATAAGAAAAAAAACTTCAGACAAACAGTTTAATTTGAGGTTCTTTTGCAAAGAAAACTTTTTTTTTTTGTATCAATCGTTAACAGTGAGAACAAAACAACATATGAGCAAAGTATTTTTTATAAAAGGCACAGATATTCTCAAATTCATAACTTGCAGAAGTCTTGCTATTTTCGTTTACAACTTCATACTGCACAGAAAATCCCCTAATTTATATAAAAAGATGCAGCACACATAAATTATCATTTTAGATTTACTTAACGCTGTTTTTTTATTATTATTAGAATATTTATTATTAGAATATTTTTTCCTGAACTGGTTCTATCTTTTCTAAAACTACAGTATCTTGTCATTAGCAAAAAAAACGATTCCATGAGAAAACAATTCAGTGTTTTTCCTTAGGACCACCTCCAAAACCCAAACTAATGTAAATTAAATAAATAAATAAATTCAAATTTCATAGCTTTTCTGAGAAATCCTCAGACAGAACTTAGATCATTCAGTATCTTATAACAGATACATTCAGACAGAAGCATTATTTCTAATTATTCAAATATTTTGAAGCCTGCACAATCAGAGACAATAAAAAAATTATCAAATGCACGGATTTTTCACTAATCTATTGAGAAAGATTTTATAAGTGTTAGACTATATTTACAGTACCTTTGGGTATTGTTTGACAGGGATCAGAACTCTCTCTGACAACTTTATGTTCTTGTTGCTGATAACATCAAGGTATTTCTTTTCCTCATCTTCCTTCTTTCCTTCAGAACCCTGAAATTTTTCAATTTCTGAAAACAATAGAAAAAGAAAGCAATCAGTGACATTTGTCATTCTCAGAAACTTTAAACTTCTACATCACAGTACAGATTTTGCACTCACATGACATGCACTATTAATTTTGAAAAAACCTGGACTATCATCAGTGTTGAGAGGCATAGGTGGTAGCTCACAGTTTGTACTATGATTCATTCTTTTCCAGCTGAAATTGACTCCAAATGATCACAGTAGGAACAGGAAAAGATGAAGCTTATGATTCAAGCAATCAATGTTTTAAAGAGGATCACATCATCACAGCTTGATGATATTTTGTAAATGTAACGTGCCAGAATTAGTCAAAGCTTCAAAGGCTAAACTTAAGGAAGAGTACTAAAGCACTAAAGAATTATTTTGAAGTTGTTCAAAGTAAATTAAGAAATAACTCTTGTACAAAACAATTTTTCACTAAAGGACTGCAAAAGTAATAATTATACATGATAATAACGATAATGTGTAGAACATTTGATAGGATTTACAAAAGCAGCTCCAAAATATACTCAGATTAGATAGTTTTGAGTGCTTTCACACAAACTTTAATTTTTGAAGTCCTTTAAGCTTCAAAAAGGAGAAGAACATCAATCAAATTTACTACCCTGCAAAGAATATTGAATGTGGTATTGTAGTTCTCTATAGTATGGGTGTTATATAAAAAACTGCATTTGCAGCAGCATCATTATTGACAAGAAGGAAATTGCAATGCTTACAATGAGTTAATTAAATGACTTAAAGGGACAGCTGTGAGTCTGAGAAACATGCATTTTCATGGCCAACAGAGCAGGCATGGGAATTAGAAACACACTGACAGCAGTGTGTAACGCACGTAAAAGCTTATTTAATGTCATAAGAAGTAGTTAAAACAATGTAAATTCCAATGATTCACAAAGATTGTTATTCCTTTCAAGTAAGACTGGTGGGAAAAGGAGCTTTCGCAGAAGACAGTGTGATAAAATAATTACTGGACCAAGACAAAACATATCAATTTTCTCTGTTTAACTAAAGTTGTTCTTTATTCTGTATACTCCTTGTCATTCCATGACTACGACCATGATAGACGGTGTAGGGTTCTATTGTGAAAAAATGAGGACCAGGATCATGTGCTTACTCCAGGTGGAGGTTTCATCACTTATACATTGTGATTTGCTATCCAGCTGTGAAACTTCTGGTCACATATAACACACATTGGAAAAAGATAACACATCTTTACACTTCAGAACTTCAGGTTTATTTTCATGAATTCAACCAATTTCTGTTTACCAAAATACATGGTTAGTATAGGATTTTGAGAGCAATAACAAATGAAGATCCAGAAGCATCAGCATTCTCCAGCAAGAATAAAAACAAGGAACCCAACAGAACATTTTCAAGAAGACTCATCCTAGGCAGAAACAGAAAAAGCAGCATTCTTTGAAAAGAATGTTCACGTATTTTCCACCCACTTTTGCTCTGAGCTAACTGAATTAAGCAGGGTGACAGATAACTATTCAATTACCTCCTACAGTATCTGTCAATCCCCCAGCACGCTTCATTCTCCTCTTTCATCTCTAACAGTTCTGTCGCACTTTCTTCTGTATAATACACATGTATCTTATCTCTCTTAATTGAAAGAGAACGTGAATATCACAGCTATGCAAAACAGCTCACAACTAGGAAAGTGTCAGAGACTAAAGGCATTTCTAACAGCTTTTAGAGACTTTTTTTCTTATTCCCATGAAAATTGATCTTCCGTTCTCTCCATATCTCGAGCTGCAAAATTCTGGAAGAGGTGTCACCCTGTTCTGTTTTTGAAGGAAATAACTTTTTTTTTTTTCCTCCTTTTTCTCACTGATTTGGCATAAACTACAATAGCTGACTGAGACGTTCTTACTTTTTCAAAACTACTTGCTTTAATCTTCAGAGTGCCAATAAAAAAAGTTGATTATAGTTCACTCCAACATGCTTGACACCTATTGCAAAACTTTCATGATGAATATAGTTTTTCCATTAAAATTAGGCTGCTCACAGTAAAAACATTCTTTTGCTACACTTAGAGTCATGTCAAAACTCATCAAAAAATAATGTGCTTCTTGTCAGCCTGTCCAACCTACCAAAAAATGAAATCTACACATCCCTTTCTCTGCTGTCAACATTTGCCACCCACTGAAAGGATTTCTGAAAGCCTACCTTGCATCTTACCTATGGGGATTCCTCTATTTGCAGCAGAGGCATTATTTCAGTAAAGAAGCATGACCTGTTGTTACAAGGTCTTGCCTTTTAAAAAATGATCTGTCTCCATTAATGGGAGTGATTCCATAGCGAGAATTTCACCAGCCTCTTGTCTGCATACAGTAATACATAGAGCAGCATTACATAACACTCTGAGAAGTACACATTTTCATCATTTGCTTCTAGTTTGGTGAATGGAACAACGTTTGTACTGAAAGAGAAAGAATATGCCAGTAAAAAACAGCAAGTCCAAAATCACTGACATCTTCATCTTTAAAAGAGTTTGTCTTAATAAAAATCACACACTTGGAACCTCTAATGCCTACAATACTGTTAAAATTGCACAACATCCCAAAGTATTTTTAAAATAGTAAATACTGAAAATACACATGAAGGCTATCTAAGCTGTTTCAGTTGTAATTGAAAGCAGAGCTACTGGGTTTTTGGGGAGAAAAAAAAGCCAGATGATTTAACAATACAATTGAACAAATTACAGTGAAGTTAATCTGTAAGAATAGAAAATCCTAAGAGATTTCCTGTTGCTAAAAGGAAATCTAAATTCCCAAAAGACTGGCTAATTAAAAGTAAATAGTTTTGAGGCTAGCAAAAAAGGGGAAGGGTTATCAAGACAGCACAACCAGCCAGAGCCTCTGAAAATTACCCATTGGCTCACTCCATTCACCCAGAACTACATGCACCTGTTGGCAACATTCCTCCACTGTAGTTACACATATTCATTCACTGACACAGCTTGTAGGAATGACTCAGCAAGATCCTACAAGCGTAACAGCACTTATATATCTGTCAAATTTGCTTGAACTTGCCCACAATATTTAAATGTCATTGCAGTCAAAGACAGAATGGACAAGATAGCATAAATCCTATATCCTTAAGAAGTTTCTTAATAAAAGGTAGTGATATAGAGAAGTTAAGCATCTACAGACAATCCACACTGATTAAATCCAAAGATAATTATCATGAAACCAAAGGAGGAGAAAGTAAAACTGCACAGAGACTGAGTAGAATTGAACTTAAGATTTCCTACCCATCTCTTTCTATAGACAATTGATTTTTACTGCTTGGTTAACAGTTTGAGAGCTCTCAACAACTTGCAGAGATATGCAAAGGTATCTCTAGATTATTGTATCAGTAGAAATACAAATATTTACTCTATCTATTCATTGATCTATAGCTAGATCAGGATAAATTAGAAAATCCGTAAGGATTAATAGTGTTAAATAACTAGAAAATTTTACAGGTAGAAATATCAGATACTGATAACTACCTGAACACTTTCTGCTCAGGCACACATTTCTAGGGAGAAAATTAATTCTGACTGCCAAATAGTTCTAGCTTGATTGCCAACTAATTCCTCATTACACTATTCCATGTAATTCTAGATACAGATCAACTGTAATCACTAAAAAAAAAAAAAAAATAGTATTTACGATGAAATTTACCACTACATACAAAGTTAAACTTTTGGAGTCTTTGTCTCACCAGTAAAAACAGTAACAAACAACAATCACTCAAGATCAGCAGCAGTGTATGCAGCATAAACAAATGATCAAGGATGCATGTTCAGCATAGTGACCTACTGAAATATAGTATCTCATGAAATTAGTCACAGCAATGCCTGTCAAAAGACAGTAATTTCTTCATTGCTTTTTAGAGAATATTCTTAGTACAAGGACTACACTGACAAAAAAAAAGGAAGCCACTATTTTTGAAATAGTGAAATTTTGAAGACCATTCAATGTGTATATTAAGTATATTTGAAATCAAATATATCTTTCTTCGTAGAGTTAGCTTGCATAGGCTAGGATGAAGGTTTGACTGTTCACTGTTGTATTGCTAGAATGACTGAACTCAGTATAGTTCTCCTTACCTCTTACCTTCAGAGCAGCTAAGGTAGTATAATGAATGTGCTATCAGGTAGATGAAAGACCAGCCTGAAAGTTGTAGAGGTATTTTTTCTTGAATTGCAATTTTCTTCAATCTGAAACTACTCATAGAAATAGGAAATACAGAGAAGGAAGATTTACTCAGACCAGAGCACAAAAGAAAGCAAAAACCACCAAAAAATATCAAGAGCATGTTATTTCTGAACACATCCTTAGGTGTCCTTGAATTTAACATTTTAGAAAACTCCATTTCTGTGGTGTTTCAGAAACAGAAAGCAGTTATTTGTCAACAAAGACTTTTGTAGCTTCTACTGTGTTACAGCCCATTCAACAATGCATTTGCACATGCTCAAGTGCTCTCCTGGATTAATCTAAAGAGAAAACATCAATGCTGTGTTACATACTGTACAGTGCAGAGCAGATAAGCATAGGGTGAAAGATGAATTGATTGGCAAAGTCACCAGCAAGTCCCTCAGTGAGATATTTATTACTTACATCTTCCTATCTGAAAGCCAATGTTATTCTGGAGGTACTCTGTGTAGCTGGAAGTATTCTGTCTCTTCACAGTTGCCACAAAGGAGGAAAGCCTTTCTTTTTCTTCCTCAGTCCTAGAACTTACTAGCGATAAAACATCTCCTATTCTGTTTTCAGAGCAAGATAGAGAATTGAACAGCAGGCTTTTTTTTTTTTTTTCTTCCTGGTCTTATTTAGCCATTTCAGGGTTTTTCTGTACTGTGAGACAGAAAAGCTACAGAGTATATAGAGTAAGAACGACATCTGAAAGTACACTGTATTGAAAACTATGAATAAATGCAACTTACTGAAGTAAAGACCTGGTAAAAAAAATCTCACTGTGGC